ACCTTGAAAACATAGCTGGGCTTCTTGAAACCTGTTCAATAAGGTTCAAACCTTCTTCAGAGATTCAAATTTTGAAGTTGGAACTTCAAACTGGAACATAAAAATGAGACATGGGGAAGTGACCTAGGACTTAGTGGCATTTATTTTGGAGCTTGTCGTCCATCCTTGTTTCAAGTGCCAGATGACACAACTTCCAGGACATAAGGGATTATAGAGAGTTGAGGTCCAAGATTCTAGAGACTTTCAGAGAAAAACAGGATATCAGTTCTACCCATCTCTCCTGCAATAGTGCAAATTTTTATATATCAGTCCTATGAAAGGTTTGTCTAACCTGTCCTTAAGACATCTTTTTAGCTGATCTATTCCAGGGCTTTCTTGTTATGCCATGGCAAATTGTTCTTCATGTCTATTCTGAGTCTTTCAAACTTAAATATAAGTGTTTTCATCATGAGTACAGAGCATCTTGCAAATCTGAAGATTTCTATCGTGTCTACTTACCCACTACCACAGAAATGGAAGTTTTCTCTTGATGACAAGAAACCTGTGTCTTGCAGGCTTTCTTCACAGATAAAATTTCTAGCTAAGTGACCATTCTTAATGGTCAATTAGGACCACCTCTCACAAACTGTCTTTGGAAATGCTGACAAAATTAGATGATTTTGGTACTAAGCCTTCTTCAGCTTGTGACCAGCTGGAATGCTCAGGCTCTTTTTTGCAGACTTGCTACACATCCAGCTGTTTTCCACTCTGTTCTGTGTAACTCTTTTGTCTGGATAAAATGAAGGTCTTGCACTGACCTTTTCTCCTGACTGCTTCTCCAGTTTGTCAAAACTGTGTGGAATGCTACTCCTGTCCTTAAGTGTACCTGAACACAGTCAACCTTTGGGTCAGTGTTAACTATTCCATCATACAGCTGAGCCATGCAGACTCTTAGTGCTAGAGAGTCATGTTGGCAAAGAAATTTGACCTCTGAGGTCAAATGCCAGGACTGTTGTGCGTTTTGCAGTGTTTTCAGTCCTCGTTTCTTGAAAACTGCAGTTGCTATAACAACTATACATTGCCAGTCCAAAGGACAACCGAACACTGCGTGCTGCTTTTTCTCCCTCTGCTCAGATGTTTTTCCCTGTCTGTGATGAGTCTGGCTTTCAGATGGCACCCACCTCCCTAGGCTAAAGCATCTCATCTCTGTCTGAATCTAGGAGCTTCCACAAGTGAGAATCAGTTTTAATAAGCTACTGGGACTTCAGGCAGAGCCTACCTCTGAGGATACTGTGCAGTTCTGAGCTTTGCCAGGTGCTTTCAGATAGTTTTCAGTGCAAACAAACTTCTGTTAGGAGATCCTGTTACAGAAATTTGAGAGAGAATTCACTTTAAACTGTGAAATTTTGCAGCCTTGTAAATGATAGTTCATCCAACTTCTTCCCAATTTGCATCAGTCCTTGCTTTCATGTTTTCAACAGAGCTGTAAGCGTTAACAGCCTTCGTCATTGGAATACTATGCAGGAGATAAGCTTCCAACATACAAAACTATACAATGGACTTTGGTAATTTTTTAATGTGTGATGGCATGGTACAACTCTCCAACTGCAGGGAACTAGATTGAAGGTTCTTTTGGGTCCCATATTCCTTACCTTTTAGGTAACACTTTCACAGCACAGAGAATTAGAGTTGAACATACAGAGTCCAGGATTTTGTTCAGGGTCATTGTCCATGGTTTTCAGCAGTATTAGCTATATCTTCAGTTAAAAAAACAATGAGGTATAGCAATTTCAGTATAACAGCATGTTTGGTAAGATGAGAGCGCCTTCAACTTTCCCAGCACCCAGTACAAACATTTATATATTATTTTGTAACATCTTATGTTCTAGGTCATGTTTGAAGTTTAAAAAATGGAGATTGCAACTGAGGAAATTATTAACTTCATTTACCAGGTTTGTTTGCTGATGTGTAACTGCAGTGGGAATCAAAGAAACTTTATGCACTTAAACACAGAGCATCCAGTTCCAGCTGGCTGGGCCAAAATGGAGGTCAGCAAAGCTGTTTTTTTTTCTTGCATTTCTATGCTCCAGTAAGATTTCTTTGCCATACGTTTGGATTAGTAAAGTTAAAACCAAATCTTTTCAGTCTTTCTGATGTTATTAGAATTAGACTTTGGAAAGACTGAAAAAAGCCCTTGAACATGTACTAAACTCCATTGAAAGGTAGATCTGGTCCTGTATCTGCTTATTGCTTCTGTTATGATGAAGTATTTCACAATTTAGCAATCCTAATTTTAATGCTCCTTTTCTGAAATCTAAACTTTTAAAAAAGCGGCATAAGAAAAGACACAGAACATTCACTCTTTTCTATGATGAGGCCCTCTTATTGCATATACGAAGAGGAGCAAAATAGGCTTTTAGCAGATTAAAATGTAATTTTCAGTTGCTTAGATGCTGCAGAATTTGTTTTTCAGGGAAATAAAAGTGAATTTGCAAAGTGCTAAGCGATATGGTAAACATTCTTAAAAAAACTCTGTTATTTTTAGCTATCTGTAAAAGCTTTGGACATTTGGGGTAAACAATTCAGCAAACACAGCACACCATCAGCTTTCATGTAACATCAAAAATGTTAGTGTGTTTTCATTTAAAAATTAGATAAGGTTATTTTATTGTTGTAGCTGCATTTTTAAGACACAGTAACAGGTATGTCAATACATTTTGTACAATTACATAGTTATTCAGAAATACCATATGAAAAATACATAGAAAAATGATAAAATACAGCAAGAATGTGCTGTGTGCAGATTGGTTTGCTAAAAAAGTGTTATTTTACCTGATCATCCTGATTACTTCCAGGAAATGTGGTATTTGGTCTCTTAAATATTTTTGATTACTCCAAGTTCATTTCTTAGAGAAGTGTCTGCAAAGCAAATAGAAGAGTTTATTTTTATGGCTGTCCTGATCAATTCTCCTGCGCTATTCCTGTGCTTATAATAGAATGGGTTTCAAACCATGGCAGCGCATATTGCTTATATTTTGAACTCAGTTTTTAAATATTTATTTTGAAACCCTTGTCAGATCACATTTTTCTTTTCTTGCTGCTCCTTAGAGATTCAGTTGTCTCACTCACATTTGAGTATGCATCCCAGCCAAGCAGTCTTCTATTCAATGTGAACCAGCTAGAATGTACATTTATTTATATGTAAAAATGCAGGAGTACCTGAACTGGAGCCAATTTGAAGAACACAAGGAGTCTAGGATTAGAGATGGAGTCACAGATGGCTCACAAATTCATTGCTTTATAATCCTGTAAGGGGGTGTCAAGAGAAGTGTTCTGCCTCACTATCTACATGCTTCCAAGGACCTCCTTGCTATCACATATGATTAATTCATAACTACATATATTTATCATCATATCACCTGTTTGAAGAAGGCATTTACAAGATAAGGATCTAACATGCTAGAAAAATACAAGTGAGATCTAAAATGGAATAGTGCAAAGTCTCAGGGCATTGACTGGTAAAACCCTTCTGCCATCCACTAAGCTAGTATTTGTCTTAAGAAGCAGTACTCTGTACTGCTGAAGGTCTTTCCCTGCCTTCTCGTGTGTTTCTCACTACCTATTCAGCAACACTACCCTGTACCACTTCCAGAAGAGTGAGCTTTATTGTTTGACACCATTAATACACATGAAAGAAATAACATTTTAGCACAAATACCCCATGGGAAGTTGCAGATAGTCTCACTCTGCCAGAAACTCTAGCAGGAGATGAGTTTGAACAAAATGGCCTATTGCTCCTCATATTCTGTCCCCTCTTAGGGTTTTCCTGTTGATAACAGGACACCTTTAATGAGTTTCCATGTATAAGTTAATAAGTTATTAACTCTGTTAATACCTTTAATTTTCTTTTATTGATGATAGTGGAATAACATGCATGTTTGTGCATGTTTGAGGCTTGAAATTCACTATGTTATAGCAGAAGTGCAAAATGTCAGGTAAGACATGTAAATTGACATTGATTCATCGTCAATGTATTTTGTTTCAGTTTATCTTCTAGAATGCAAGAAAAGAAAGAGGGAGGATTACAGGGGAATAAAAGACAGAACTCAGAATGGGATGTGATGCCAGAGGTGGGCGGGTAGTACACACCACACGTCAAAGTTTGTTCTTCTCGTATTTGTCTAAATATTATGAATGAACATTTCTAAACTATTAATAGAGTGATGTAATCAATTTATACTATAGTTTATCAAAGGCAGTTACTTATTGCTGAGGTTAATTTATAATCGTTTCCTCAACATCTCTCTCACTCTGACTTTTATCTCTTACTACAAAAATAAGCAAGACAGATATCTTTTAAGACACCATGTAATTTGTCCCATTTTGATTAAAATGGTATCATATGCTTCTAGTTTTTGTGGTCGTTGTTCAATCTAAACACTCACTTGGAAAAAATGACGCAATGAAAATTTCATTCTTAAATGGGGCCAGGATTTTGTTGTTTAGGTAGAAAGTAATACATGAAAAATTAAACTGAAATAGTATCATTATTCTGATAAGCTTTTTCACTGCTAATATGTTATTGTTGATATATGAGAAGCATGCAGGAAAGTATATCTGCTCTTCAGGTAGATTCACACAGGTCTGACATTCATGTTACTGGAAGTCCACTCTTGTTTCATCAGTGTCCTCTTTCTGTATCTTCCAAAAAAAAAAAGTCATAGTTCTGCATTTGAACCTTGTAAGTTAGAAAAGATCGATATGGCAATAAAAGTGAAATAGATCAGCTGCATGAAAATACAGAGGAGTACTGTTGCCCTTTAAGACTGCTGAATTTCCTGTGAACTGTGGTCATGAGGCTGGTGGTTCTTTGGGTCATTCCAGTGGTGATAGAGAGGCTTTTTATGACAGCTTATCTTATGGAAAAATGCTCAGGCAGAGACACAGATCCACAAGAGGTGTATCCATTTTCTTGGCTTTCAGGTTGCATGAACTAGCCACAGACATTTGGAAAAAAGGAAAATAAACAATTGCTTAATCTGTAATGGTATTTTTCTTTCTATTAGTGCATCACACATAAAATTTTCACTCATGTGGAGTTGAAGAAAACTACTGCAGCAGTCCTGACGGGAATGGAAATAGGCCATGGTGTTTCACAACCAATCCTGCTACCAGATTAGATTACTGTGGCATCCCAGAGTGTAAAGGCCAGAATATGTATGTTTCTTCCTTCAATTCTCCCCACTATCTTCTCTATCATGATATTTATTTTCTTTTGTGAGATATTTAAGGAGGAGAGAATATTCATATTCTGTGTTTGTTTCATTTTGAATGAGGGATTTGCTTTACATGTGAATTTAGAGCATTTTTATTGATAAGGCTTCATTTGTTCTTTTGGACTTGTAGCATAACCCAGCCACTAAAATGTAGTTTGATAAAGTCCAGTTACTGTACATAGAACAGACTTTGGTTTGGCTTCTTAGGGTTGGATTTCTCTACTTCGCTGTACCCTGCAGTGCTCCTGCTCATACCTTATTCTTGCCTCTTACCCTCACTTTTTCCTGCTTTCTCCAACTTTGTTCTTCCAGCTGACTTTTCACATTTTCCTGTCCAGTGCTGCTGCTCATTCAATCTATCAAGACTATGCTCTTGAGCCTGGTGGTGTGGGATCATGTTCGTCTTGGTCATATTTCTGCCTGATTGCTGTTAAAAGGAAGTGCAGAACACCCTTCAGAAGTCCAATTATGTTTGAAAATATATTATCAGGGCAAAATCCTCCCCACAAAAGTCAGAGTATGTCTCCCCATAACTGGTCCAGTGCAAAAGCCCCCTGAAACTGGTCAGCATATTGAATAGGAGCCAGTATTAGTGGTCAGCTGTCAGTATACATAAGACAGAGTAGGCATGTTTAACTGCAAGTGCAAAGAAGACAAGTTGAAACATGAAAAACTAATCATATAAAGGCCAGCAAAAGACCCTGTTTGTTACAGGGTTTGTTGATCACTTCCAAAACAGTAGTTTATTGAAATAATATATCTCTGTTGTGAATGAACAGCAACATGGGATGATGTTTTATATGTGATGATAACTACCCAGTAAATAAGACTAATATTAAACAGGTTAGGAAAATACTTTATATCTTCATACAACAGCTGGTTTCAGATTTCTAGAATGCTGTTATTTCCACTCTATGTATCTATTTCAGGAGCGTAGATATAAATCATTATAGGAGCCCAGACGGTAAGAAGAGGCCCTGGTGCTATGCTACCACCAACATAACATGATGGCAGTATTATGGCATTCCTCAGTGTCCAGAGACAGCATCAAAAAACCCTGGGAAGATGGGGGGGGGGGGGGGAATGTGTGAAATACAGCTATGCTACAGAAACACAAAATATAATGGAAGGTCATCATTTGTGTTGTAAAAATCTCTCCTAAAACTCTGCTCAGTACCATTGAGTGTTCGTTGATCTTGTGTGCATGCTGCAAAGTTATCTCAGCCATGGATAGAAAGTAGGGCCTCTTGGTAACAGGAAAACTGATGCTGATGGTTTTACACTAGAGAGTTGTAGGTTTCTTTTAAAATGTAAGTAAATATAAGAACATACCAGTGTGTGTATGCAGTGAATGCAACTAAAGATATAATCAAAATACTGGCACCACATCTCCTTTTGGATGTATTGACAGGGTGGGCGGAAGGTGAAAAAGAGGATGAAAGGAAAAAAAAATAGAAGGATAGCAATCAGTTTTTTAAAATCCTGCACATTAATCTCCTAAATGTAAGTAATGAAGAATTACATTTGAACAAATGTTAGAGCTGTATGTGAAGTTTTTGCTTCCCTGATGCAAACAAATGCAGTGTGCAGAAGTGAAATTGAAATGCAAGTGCTCGTACCAAGTACCATCTGTTGCACGAAATTGTTCCAGACACCCTTACAAATGCCTTCTGGTCTTTATTCCCAAACATTCCTGTGACTGCTTACCAATATGTCTGATTTTTCTAACTCACTTTCCTGAAGGTTTTGGGTGTTATTATTAAAATTTATTAATTAAGGTATTGATTTCTGCTATTCATTACAGATAGTGATATGTCAATGCAGTCTTCAAGACCAGAGGAGTGTTATCAGGAGAGACAGGCTTGGATTACCATAGAACAGTTTCTTTTACTGTCAGAGGAAAGAAATGCCAAGCATGGAGCCTGATGATGCCACATCATCACAACAGAACAGCAAGGGATTTCCCAAATATGTATGTTTGTTTTGTGGTTTTTGCATTATGTTAGGCAATTGCTTTCTCCTTCCACCCAGTTGCCTTCTCTTTCCACCCAGTTGCCTTACAGTACTTTAAAGTAGAAGGGAATATCCTTGATAAAAAAAAAAAAATCACGTGTCCAAACGTTAAAAATTACCCTTTAGTCATGTTTTTGTTATACTCAAATTGTGGACTAAATGTAAATGAAGAGAGTCCTTTTAAATTGTCCTGAAAAAATTGAAGAGTTGTCATTACTCTTCAAGAACATACTGAAGCACAGCCATTCAGACATATGGCAGAATAGCTATCTGCTTTCCAAAACTGTTTCTTTATAAATATTTGAAAGAGCTGCAATAGCCTTTAAAGTGCTTTAGGGAGCAATAGATGGAAGAATAGAGCAGTTCAGCATTTATCAGTGGCCGGGACAGTATTTCATATGGCAAAGCAATCACAATGGTTAGCAAGCCTGCCCTTCGTTGTAAACTGGAATGGAAACGAGAAGACTAATATAGTTAACTGATTCCTGTCTTCAACAGCTTTCTCATCTGTCATTTTTCCCTAAATCCTTCCAGTGTATCATTACTTCTTCCCACATAAATCTCTGTTCAAACCTGCTAACAGCTCATCTCTTATTTTCTATTCCATCCCAAATCACACTTTTTTGTTGTGTGTGAAAGGTTTCTGTTTGTGGAACTGTTGGAGACTTTGTCACTGTTCTGATTTAAGATGAAGAAATTAATTGAGATCTTTAAAATGCTTGGGGAGAGGAAGAACGTTCCCTTCACTGTCCTATCCAGCTTTCGTAGTGCAAACACTTATGTGAGGAAATAGTTCAATAGTTCAATTGCTAGATAGGAATCCCTACTTAAATTCACATGCATATGTGCTCATGGCTCCTTGGACCTAAAAATTATAGAAGACTCACTTGTTGTTTTCTCAGTTTCTGATAATAAAAAATAAAATCTTTTTAATTTTATGGTAAGCTCCCACTTGGGAAAGATATGGTTCCAATGTGAGTGAAAAACAACCCGGTATTTTCTGCAGTTGTATATATGTTCTAATGAATGTCAGTAAAGATGAATACTACATCATTCAGGCATTACTCAGCCAGTCAGAACATTTGTACAGCCTCCAGTTAAATCTCTACAAACATTTGCTAGGTTTTATCAAGAACTAAATGGACAGTTACGCTGCCTGCTGGCAAAATCCCTAGACTCTGTCAGCCCCCAGACTACATCTTCACCCTGTGGGAGACCACAATAGCCAGGATTGGTCAGAGTTACGCTGGGGTTGGGCTAACAGCTTGCACAATCATGGATTAGTGTGCAAGTACAGACCCTGGCCATGTTTAGTTTACTAGTATAGATATAGTCTTTGTCTCATCTTCAACAGACAAAACATGCTGATACTTGAAGTCATTACCAGATGGGCTGGAAGGATGAGGATCACTGCAAGAACATTCTAGCACTGGGATGAGTGTAGGACAAGGAAAAGACTGCTTGTATTTCCTACCAGCCTCATCCACGTGTCTCAAGAATCTGAAGATTTCTAGTAATACATCCAGTGTGGGACATGGACACAGATCACCCTCTGAGATGGGTTGTAGATATAGTGTTGAAATGAAGACAGTCTTTTCTGTGTACTTCTGACTCAGTAAGAGACAGCATGATCCTGGCAGTATGGCAGGTCACACTAAAGGTCTGGCAAGAGTGGCAGATCATTTAGGATTAGGGAGTGCACCAGGGCAAGGAGACGCCAGAAGGCACAGACAAACAAAAAACCCTTGCCCTTCCTTAAGTTCACAGGAGCAAAACTCTCAATGAAAAGGAAGGGGAGGAGAAAGGTAAAATTTTCTGACAAAGGACACCGCAGCTAACAAAACATTCACTCTGCAATGGTACTTACTATTAAAAGTACTGCAATAGAAAAAAGTTCTCAAACTTAGTCTTTGTTCTGCATGTGTATTAATGTGCCATAAGTATTTATGGTTGTCCACCTAGTCAACTGCTGTAAAGTAGGAGGGAACTGTTCTGTGGTCACTGCTGCCTTGTGGAGGATACATCCCCCTGCCTATAAAATGCACGTCTTCAGCACTTGTCTCAGATTCTGAAGGAATTTGTAGAAAGTGGATTTGACTGTATTATGGGTAGATGGTGAGATAGCAAATGCACTAAAAATAATACAGAAAAGATATAGGTCCAATTTCCAGCTAATATAGTGAACTGAGATCAAATTCCAAGTTTCGCACGTATTTGTAACCTAGTAACACCTTCCTAATATAAAACAGCCAGTACTCTTCCCTTGCAATGAACGCCTCTGTCCTTCAACTCTGTAGTATGAAGTTCTTCATCCTAATGCACTGGGTAAGCTTATCTTTTTCTATCCATATTGCAAACCTGTAGAAAGTATATTGCTCCTAGGAGTTTATTTTTCAAGTTCTTTGGTCCTGAATATATTCACTGATTGCCTATGTTATTATATGTATCTCAAGTTTCTCCTTGATTCACTAAGTAAATAAAAGTTCTTTGTTAGTATTTTTAGTTCAGTTTTTAATTTATTACTAAGGTGATGTATGCTCTACACTCCATCTAAAAGAGCTGAAAGGTACACAGTCCTTCCTTTTCCTAGCTGAAAGGTGCCTAGTCCTTCCTTTTCTAGCACTTGAACTACATGACTGCACACTACGTGATGTCATTATTTTTTCTATTAACCAATCAGGAAGACACGCTAGGAAAAGACCACCTCATTACAGTTCTTGACTCCCAAATGATGTAAAAGATCTGTCCAAAGATTAATCAGCCATTGCTAATAAAAAATAAACCCAGAGACATGATGAGGACTCAGGAGCCAGCATCCCTTGTGATCCTGGGTAGACCGACTGGATATGTAGAGACATAGTGCCAAGAAGTGCTTGGGGGCATGTGGGTGTAGGAATGTGAGCAGATAAAATTTGCGAGTGAATGAGT